CCGGGCTCCGGCTCCCCGGGGCTGCCGCCGCCCGGGGCTCGGCCCCTCGCTGCGGCCGGGCTGCCTGGGACAGCGCAATCCTCTCCCTCCCGTGCCTGGCCGCCGCCGTGTCCCTGGGGGCATCGGCCGGCTCACTCGCGGGCCGGGACCTTTGCCCCCAGGCAGGACAAAGTGGCCTCAGCTCTCCCTCCTGTCTCCTCCAACAGGCTGAGAAGTTCACCTGTGTCTGCTACAGCTTCTCTGTGGGTAAGTGTCTCCTCGCTCGTGCTTGCCCAAGCCTCCCTCCAGCATCTTCCCTTTTGCCAGCCTGGCAGCTTCCCTGGAAATGAGCTGGCTCAGCGCAACAGCTTTAGGGTCTCACGTTAAACAGAGCAAAATTCTCATATGTGGGGTGACCCTTCTTCCCAGAAGAAAGCTCAGCCAGGACACAGGCCTACACACTTGCACATAGCCTTTGCCGCTCTTGGGTCCTTTGCCAGCAGGAGGCCAGGCTGTGGCACTCACCCCTGGCTCTGTGTTGGTTGCAGGGCAGACTGCGGTCCAGTGGCATGGGATTGTGATTGGACTGGTTGTGCTGTTGGCAGTCCTCCTTGTGGCTGCAGTCATCCTCTGGTTTGTGCTCTCCAAGTGAGTAAGAAGGGGACAGGTTCAGCAGGTACATACACAATGCCAGCCTCTAACCCAGAACTCCCCTTTGCCTTTCCAGGAAAAAGAAGTATTTGCCCAACAAAACTAAGGAGGATAATTAAAAAGGTAGGAAAATGCAGTTCTGCAGAAAACCATCAAAGACTGTAAGTCTGTGGGGCAGGTGGGATGACAGCAGCAATTTCCCAGGAGAAGGTGAGTTTCAGGAGAAGCAGCAGTTTGTACTGCACTGACACATCTGCTGATTTGCCTTAGCTGAGGATGGTCAGGATGGCTCTGCCCACTGAGCCCCACATGGCAGCAGAGTCTGGCTCCAGGCAGTGCTTGCTGCCTGGAGGAGGGACAGGGGTGAGCAAACATGGGCATCACAAAGGCTCAGGTTTTTGAGGGACCCATGTCTGTGCCATCCCCCCCAGGGATCTGCAGGGAGGCATCTCAGGAGGGTCAGGCTGAGGGGCTGCTGCTCTTACCTCAGAACTGACAGGCACCTCTGGAGCCCTGTGGTTGGGCACAGCTGGGATGAAAGTGTTGGACTGTGGCAGGCATTGCTCTGTGCTCCAGCCTGTCTCTGACACTAGGTGCCCTTTTTCTCCACAGGTAAAGGTGGCTAGGCTGGAGATCAGTCTATCCAGGACCATGGAGACATCCAGAGCACTGAGGATATGGAGAAAATGGGAAGGATGACCCCACCCCAGTGCTGATGACTGCTATGTACCCTGGCTCTCCTGTGACTGACCAGCATAGAGGTCCCATGCAATTCATCCAATTCAGCAGGGCAAGAGGAAAACAGAAGGCCAAGGAGGGTTGAGCTTTTTCATTCCTCACCTCCTAGGTTTTGCTTACTGCTTTGTAAGGCCTTTGAAACTGGCTTTCTGTAATCCTTTTTTTCCAGGCTTTGCTTTCATTTTTGCTTTCCTGGAAGCATAATTTGTATGCCAGATTTCCCAGTCCCAGACTCACACAGGCTCAGGCTGATGGCATTTGCTGTCCTCTGGGTTCCCAACCCTTCTGCCCTTTCTGTTGATATTCAGCCAACAAAGCCAAGGGTTTTGCTAGGCCTGGCTGAATGCTTTGTGGCCCTGCCTATTCTGTCTGGACAACAAATAAAGGCTTGTGGTTTGGAGGGGCTGCCTGTCCCACACAACTCCTGCCTGGTCCCCTCATTGCCCCTGTGGGATCATATTCCCCTGCAAGGAGCTGACTCTGCCTTGTGGAGGGGAGCCACCAGCAGGGCTGCTGTGACCCACTATTCCCCTAGTGGTGCCTAACAGCTTTTCTGACCTCCAGAGTTGAGCTGGACAGCACTAATGTGAGTTTGGAGGGGATGTGTGGTGGGAATCCATCAAAGGTGATGGCCCTCAGCACACATTTTGGCCAAGAGTGTATTCAGCCCATGCTGTGGTATACCTGTGCTTTCAGCTCCCTTGTGGCACTGTGCCAGGTCAAACCTGGAAGAAAAGCCAAGATCAGGGGTCACCACCACCATGGCCTTTATTGTGAGACACAGGACAGAGAGCCATGGGGTCACTACAGGTTTTGAAGTCTTCTGCAAAGGCAGAACCTGTCTCCCTGGTGCTGCTTGAACCACATCCAGGATATTCACGTTGTGCCCCTAAAACCCGGGATTGCCATGGAGCAGCCAGACAGGCTGGTGAGAGAACCTCTATGGAGCTGGTAGGCCGTGGCACTTGGAGCAGCACCAGGAAGAGATTGTGTGGGGTTTGAAGGACCAGTTTAGCCCCACAGGACCATGGGTTGTCCCACTCTTGGCCCTTGTTCACTTTGGTTTTCACACTTCTCCCAGAGTAGGACAGATAACCTGGGCTTCTGAGAACACTGGATTTTAGAGCAGTTTGAGACTTCCCTGACCAAACAATGTGGGTGTTTGTGCTACCCCACTTTCCTTAGGGCTACCTGAGGGGACAAGGGAACCTGGATAGGACAGCTATTCTCTTCATCCTTGGCAAGAATGGATGGGTGAAGTCCTGGTGCCTCTGCTCTGGTCTGCAAACTCAGGCTGTGATTCCAGATAAGTTCCTGCACAAATGTTGGGCAGAGGGTCAGGTTCCCATTTCAGTGCCTGGCCAAAATTTGGAGACAGTCCAGCCTGTGTTCTCCAGCCACAGAAGACCCTTGGGGTGGTTTTTCAGGGGAGTGAAGCATCTTGGGGTCACGCCAAAACCCTTTTATTTCCTCTTGCTTCCACTGTTACTGATGAAGGGCTGTCCAGGGCATTGAAGTCCCATCCAGAGACAGGCTGTGGTCACGCCCCTACTTGAAATTCCCATAGGTTTCAAATGAATTCAAGTAACTGAGGGCTAGTTCATAGCAGAGCCCATACTGTTCCTGTGGATAAAAGGATGCACATGAGACTCAGGTGGACCAACACCTGCAATGGCATGTCAGCATTGGTCTCCAACAGCTTCCTGATGCAGAGCATGCCAGACACAGGTATAATCCACCCTCCTCCTCCCAGCTGGAGTCCACCTTTCCCTGCTGAGGAATCCAGGCAAGTGCTCCAGGAGCTGGGGGGCTGGACTACACCAGCAGTGGAGCCAGCTGGTTTTGACAGGAGAGCCAGTCTCCACAGCACAAAATGTTGAGCAGCCAGGAGGAGCAGAAAGGGGCCTCTCATCATGCAGGATGCTTTGGCACCTGTTCAGTTCTGCAGAACCTGACACTGAGGGAGTGGGCATGTCCCAGCAGCAGAAAATGGGGTTCTCAAAGATCTCATCTGCACCTGGCCTCAGGATGACCCGAGCACAGAGGAGCTAGGGCAGCTACTCGGGCAATCCAAGATATGGCTCTTGTTTTGGTGTTGCAATCTCAGCAGGGTTTGAAGTCAGCACCTACCACATCTTTAATGAACTGTCTCCGCCGCCTCTTCAGCATCCTCACAGCCTGGGATACATCCACTATCCCCTCACTTTGGATCTGCTCACACAGGAAACTAGCAGCACAGAAGATCCCACTCCGGCTGGCTCCATCCCTGTGGAGGAGGGCAAGGGGAAGTTCATTTGCTCTGGGATCAGGTGGCAGGCCTGTGACTCAGAGGTGTCCCCTTAGACCCCCACACTCTCAACATGATCTTGGCCACCGATCCCGCAACCCAACCTTCCTCCACAGGGAAGCCTTCCTCCCTTAACATAGCTGAATTCATATCCATACATCCACCCGAGATGCAGCTGTGACCAATTTCAGTGGCACAGCCTGAGCTGTGTCCAGCTCTTTGCCATGGCTGTTCCTCCAGGACACATCACTCACCAGCAGGTGACAAGGATATGTCCGTCTTGGCTCTGCCGATGGTGTGTCTCCACCTTCCCTAGCAAGCTGATGATGGTGTCAGGGTGTGGGGGCAGATGCTGCTGCATGGGCCAGTCTGTCAGTTGATGTAACTGGATTTCCACTGCAGATTTCTTGGGCTAGTGGGGGAGAAAGACAGTGGGCTGGGCAGAGCAGCGACCTATTGGCTTCATGGAGAGAAGGGGAGGGACAGTGCATGCCAGCCCTGGCTCAGCCGTGCAAACTGGCTCAAGGAAGCAGTTCCACAGTGGGACATGCCACTCCAGACTTTGCTCTTCTCCACCAAGTGCTCTGAGACTGGCAGATGGACACAGGACAGGAGCTGAGCACCAGGTGCTGCTCAGACTGACACCAGTCCTGTGTCCAGCTGCCTGCAATAAATCCCGTTCCATGTACCACCGAGATGCACAAACTCCATCCACAGATACTGTCCTCCAGTTGGAAAGGCACAAAAAAACACCTTTGAGTTGTACCTCTGCCTGCAGCCTCGCTGTCTTGGGATTGGCCTCTCTTCCACGGCAAAAGACTCTGCTCTGGCCAGTGCTTTGCCAGGACCCCACCAGATCCCTCTGCCATCTCTAGCTGTGACTTTAACCCCAAATTAAAGCCTGTTGACAGCTGGTCCTCCCACCTCTTGCAAAAGTTCTTCTCAAAGGAGTTTGACATCTCTGAGCAAAGGGCCCACCTGCTGCCTGTTGCTGAGCACAAGTGTCCAAGTGGTGAAGCCAGCCCCAGGCTCCTCTGCGATCAGCTGGACATGGAATCGGCCATAGTCATCCTCGCCCTGGGTGGGCCAGAACTGCACATATGTCTGGGGAGAGGTGCACAATCACACATGGCCCCACCTGCACACAGGGCAGAGCTCAGCACCTCACGTGGGTGGGCTCACACCAGCCCCTCGCCCATAATCCATGTACACATGGCTCTGTCAGATATTTGCTGGGCACCAACCCAGAGCTGCAGCCAGAAAATAACACTCCATCAGAGGGCACACCTGGGCAGGGGTAGACAAAACCGGAGGGATGCTCACTTGCAGTGAGACTGAGGCCAGCCCACTGCTGTGGCACTGTGGTGCTGGGACTGTCCTCAGGGCTATCCCAGCGGGAGCCCCACAGGTACTGGTGCAAGCAGGGCTCTCATGACAGGATCCATACAGGGACAAAGGCAGAAATCACACTGCTCGGCTCCACAGGGAACCAGGAGAGGGGAGAGCTGTGCTTGGGCTGCTGACCTTGTCCAGCTCCTGGAGTTGATTCAGCACAACCACTGATGTGCAGGTGTAATCCCAGACCAGAGCCCAGAAATCCACCAGCGTGGTGGGGAAAGGCAGCTGGGTGATGATGATTCTCTCCTCCTCGGTGTACGTCTGCAAAAGACACGATGGTGCATGTGGGGGGAGAATCCCACAACCCCCGAGAGCCCTTCCTAGGGCAGGCACGGCTCCCTACCGCCCCGCTGAGATGGAGACGACACAGGCCACCCCAGCCCTGCTCAGAGCAGCTCAGGTTAGCGCCGCGCTGCCCTCTCAGCTCATCACAGCCGGGCTCAGCTCCCGGCAGGATGTGGCAGCACAATGCCGCTGCGCTGCCCGCACAGGCAGGGCTCTGCCGATGGCGGGGGCCATCTCCTGGCGGCAGGGCCAGCTGTGCAGGAGCCCGAGGGCTGGGACACCTCATCCCTGCGCGGGATGCTCCAGCCTGGCCTTGGGCGGGGGAGCGCAGGCGGGTCCCTGCAGCCCCGAGCAGCTCCCGCTCTGGAGGCTGCCGGAGCCTTACGCTGGCAAACACGGCGTTGATGTAAGCTGGAGAGCCGTCTGCGTTCACCGAGGACATCAGGATGGGCCGGCAGGAGTCGGCTGCAGGGGCAAGGAGCAGAGGGAGGGAAATGATGGGTCATTCTCTCCCTATAGAGAGGCAGGGGACTTTCCCTGCAACAGATAGAGTCATCGTAGCTCCCTGCAGCATGGGCTGGAGAGGACTGAATGGACAGGCACCACCACACCCATGGCTGTGGCAGCTCAGGGCACCCCGATGTGGGACATCCAAAACCCCGTGGCTGGGAGCACAGCAGATCCACCCTCCTAATCGCTCCCTGATGTGCCTCATCTGAGGTTCTCCACTGTGAAAGTTTAGACCAGGGGCATATTTATCCCAGGCTCAGTAGGAATCAGCCTAATACGTACTTATTATCTACTAACCAGAATGGCTGGACCTTGGGCAGAACCTGCCAATGTCATGTGCTGGGAGGGAAGCAGCAGGAGAGCATTGTTCCCCTGCATGCTGCTATCAGGCACTGGGTTTTAGAGGAAGAGGCTGCCCAGCCCTGGCAGTGTTACCTGGCAGGATCCCTGGCTTGCGGTTCTTAGGTTGGTTTCTGGGTTTCTCTGCTTCTCTGCATGGCAGGAGCTGGAACAACTCAGAAAATCTCTGCAGGGCCTGTAGAGATGATTCACCCAAGTCAGTCCTGCCTGTCAGCACCTCACCTTCTTGATCCACTCCAGAGAAATGATCCCCATCTCCATCCCACTGCTGGGGAGGGGAGCAGGGAGTGGGTTGGCATCACAGATGAGCCCTCACAGCACAAAGCACAGAGTGCACCATCTCCTGGTGGTACCTTGAACTCCTTCTCTAGGACACTGTTGTGGCCTGAGGTCTCAGCTTCTCCAAGGGAGTGGACGAGGGTGGCGATGCTCTCCAGTGGGACCCCGGTGCTGCCGCAGAGCAAGCCTTCGAGAAGCGCCTCGTACAGGAAGCTGTACTGCTCCTGTGTGAGGACATGGGTCAGCTGCATGGTCTGGAGCTAGTCCAGGAGGAACCCTGGAGCTCCAGATCACCAGCTGTC